ATATTTATTTTTCCAGCTTTGTTACGACATATTATATATTTTAGCACATAATTTACATTCTATTTTTAAATTTTTTTTCTTTTACTTGTAGATGCAGTTTTTTTCCCCCACAGGTTTTTTAAAATTATTTCCATATGTTTTACATTTTTCTGTCTCCTGTTTTTACTTTACGTTGTGCAATTCTGCCTCGTTATGCAAATAAGGTGGGCGGGCCTTCTTGGGTCAGCTCCTCTCCTATTGGTCAATAGGCAGTAAGGAGCAGGATTATTACATTAGTTTAAAGTGGTCTCTAAACAGTATTATCGTTTGTCACAATAATTTCTGAGACAATTTATCCTCCAGCAGAACTTGTTATTGTGACAGGCCTAAATGTGTGTGTGTGTGTACGGGTATTTTGTGACATATGAGGAACATTTTAAGACAAAACACCTATATGTGGGTACAGCTGGTACGTATGGGGACCTAAGTCGAGTTCTTGTTTGGTTTAAGTGCCATTAGTGGGATGGAGGTCAGGTTTAGGACCAAAGTGTGAATTGAGTTTAGGTTAGGTTTAGGGTCAGGTAGGTACCTGTGGGGTTAGCTTTAGGGTAGAGGGTCATGGTTAGTCTGTTTTAATTGTATGGAAGTCAACTTAAGGAAAGGTTCATCACAAATCCAATAGCAGCTACAGGTACCAACCAACTCCAGCACCGTCCTGTCTACACCTCATCTGCACTCAAAGTAAAAAATAATAATAATTGACTGAGTGTGTTTTAGTGTCTCCATTAATGCCACAAGCAGATTAATGGTGATTAATGAGCTGATGTGGTTATTCTCTGTTAATGGTTTTAAGTTGGTTAGAGGACTTATCTGAGGATTATCAGACTTTTGGGTTTCACTGACGGAGCCAAGAAGAAAGCCAAGCGAGCATGAAAGTCGATCTGACGTCATCATTTTTCGTTTGAAAAGCTCAGACTGTTTTAGGTCATTTCCCCTCGCTCATTATCATTTAATTGTAGCCTGATAAGCTTAAAAGCGAAATGGGTGGTCTCGGTTCCAAACGTCAGTGCATTTTTTTGCATCGTGTAAACCAAAAGATAAAGCTGCCACCTCTGATCTCGCTCCGTGTTAGCCTCAGTCTCTGCGAAGTCTCCTTTTAAACTCTTTCTCTGAAACTCTGGCGAGCAGAGGAGCTTCTCTGCCATCCATCACCTTGGCATCTCCACTGGTCCTCCCACACTTTTTCCCCACGTCCCCCCCACCCACCCCACCCGGTCCGAAAGAAACCTCCACCCTTCTCCTGCTCATGCACATTCAGCTCTGCCGTTATTTCCCTCCTTCCCTATGAATAAATTGAATGCATCAGTGTGTTTGAGGTCTTGTCAGACAAGGAGGACAAGGTGATTCTGGGGAGCGATGGGAGTTTAAGTCTCCTTGTGGCGCGGGGATGTTTGGACTGTGAAAGACATGCGACGCATACATTTTTGAGGACAGGCACTGCTTTTATCTCGGGGGGCACGCCGTTCTGGAATGAAACCAGCCATATAAAATGATTGTATTTATGCCTCCTTGACTCTTTCATTCTGGGGGTAATTTGCATCCTGTATGTCTATGTCAACAGATGATAGACCTATAGCATGGTGGCGCGCAGTTTTTGTGTAGAGATGTACCTTTTGACAAAACATCATGTGCAGCAAAAATATTAGCAAAACATTTATTTGTGATTCAACAAGAATATTTACAATATAATCACAAATAAATGTAAAAAGCCTTCCCTGAAAAGGAGGTCATCAGGATGATGACGCCTTTCCACAGACTGCTCAAGGGAGACGGGCTGATGCATCCCTATAACATCAGAGAGGCAGGATTGTTAACTGTGCACTGAGAACAAATTAGATGGTTGCTGTTCTTATTGTGGTTTCCAAGAAATTTTATTTATTTTTTGTTTGTCTCAGTTCATTTTAAGTGAGCTTTGATCCAGAGAAGACGGCAGCGTTTCTGGATGGTGTTAACATATGTGACACATTATATCGAAAGAGGATTAAATCAAAACTTTTCAAAATGATCAAACTTCATTTTAGGCTACATTTTGATACCTGGATCATAAGCTTATCCAGAGATAAGACAGTTTGTCTTGTTGGTAATGCTAATACATTACTGTTTAGTCTGAATCCTAAATTTACATACATTTATTGAGTAATTTTTGATGTTAATATAAAGAGTAAACCTCAAATATTATTTGTACATTAAGATTTCCCAGTTGGAAAGAAACAAAAACATTGCTAGCTCACAAGGAAAAATTCTAAATTTTAAGGCGTTTTTCCTCAAAATCATGTTTTCTTTTGCTATGGCTCAAAAAATGCTTCAAAAAGTTTTTTTAGGATTGTATTTCAGACAGTTCATTCAAATGATACAGCGGGTAAAATAAGTATTGAACACGTCACCATTTTTCTCAGTAAATATACTAGAGGCGCTAATGACATGAAATTTTCACCAGATGTCGGTAACAACCCAAGTGATCCATACATACAAAGAAAT